ACTGAACCTGAGCCAGAAGCCGCGGAGATCTCTCTGATTGCTGTCCTGTCTCTTTCAGATCCAGTCGAACCTGGGCAAACTGATCCTGAAGGAAGAGATCGAGAAGTCGATACCCATCCGGAGGAAAACCCGCTCGCTTCCCGACAGGACGCCTTTGCACTTGGGTGAGTCGGGGCCCTTGCTCTCTGAGCTTGTGAGGAGCCGGCCTGGAACTGAGTGGAAACTCTATGAAAGAGCCTGACCCCGGAAGGCCACTGTGTCTGCAGGTCTCCTAGGTCCCTCTACAGGTCTACAGGTCTACAGGTCCCTCAGAGGCCAGGAGAAATTGTAGAAATTATCCCAGATAAGCTGTTAAGAGCCAAGCTGGGGTGAGAACATGCGAAGACATTAGCCCTCCAGGACCAGGATTGAAAACCTCTGCTCCACAGAGTTTATTTCCTACCAGTCTGCCTGCTTAAACAGTAGAAGCGGTCCAAAAGGAGGTCAGAATTGGAGAGCTCCAGGGAGGAGGAATTGATCGAGTCTCCTGGTGGTGTATGGCGCTGTTCCAGTTCTGGAAGACTTTCTGATTAATGAATGTGGAACAGACCACTGCCAGCTTTTCCATTTACTTCCTGACTAAGTGGGACTTTCAGATGCCAAAGTGGATGAGATCATCGGTTCAATTAACTGCCACCAAGCGAGCCAAATGGGCCCAATGGCCTCCTCTTGTTTGGAACTGCTCTTCTGTTCTTGAAATCAGCGGGGCTGAAGTTTCAGGAGGGTGGAATGGGCGTGATGCTTTCTTCTACAGCCTGACTGTACGAGCGTCCAGTTTATCATTCAGTTTTTTCGGCTGACACCTCTATCCAGGATATCCTGGTGGAGGGTCATCCTAAACGGTACGAGAGCTGGGCCCCACACAGGCCTGGAGCCTAGACACTCCTGACCATACTGCTCTGCACTGCTTGACCTTCTAGGACTCTGACGCTGTTTTTCCCCAACAGGACCCTCGTCCGTGGCCTCCAAGTCCACCTCTCTCCCAGTGTGCAGCAGGACCAGCCTCACCAGGGTGAGTTGGGCCCGGCCTGACGCGGGGAAGATCACGGGCACACGGACATTTAAGACGTTAAATGTCAGCAGAAACCACAGAGAAAAATCAAACACTAAAATCTGTCGATCGCGTGACTGTTCACCCTCATTGCAATGGTAAATCTAAATTTAGCATACTGAAAGTGTACAAGCGTACTTCGACACAATGAGTTGAGTGGATTGAGCAATGATGAAGAATGGACAAAAATTTCAAGCAGCATCTTCAGCATTGGTCTAAATTCCCAAACCTGTTTGCAAGCGCTGAATGCATGAAAACCAGCTTCACTATTCAATTCTAACACTTGAGGGATCCCTTCCCTGGCTGGGATATAGACTGATGCAGCTGCTGTGCAATACCCTTGACCTCCAGAGCACTTCAGGGTGTCACATCATAAAGCAGGCTAGGGGTCCAAGCCTCTTCAGCTGTCACCCCTCTTGGGAAAGCTCTTCCTAATCACCTAACACTCACCCTCTGTTGATGTTCTTAAATCTCGTCTCCAATCTTACATGCTTTTCGATGCCCTCCACTTCTTCCAACCTACTTATTTCTTCAGAATTTCACATGTACACTGTTTTTGCATTATTGTTTTTTTTTGTTTGTTGTACTTCTTTTATATCCATATGATTTGCACTTTGAGGATGCTCTGGATTGAAAGGCGCTATGCAAGAATATTGAAACTGAACTTCAGGTGTATGATAAGCAGCTGGAAGGTCTTCAGTGTTTAGTGTTTAGGGTTACGGCTGAAACCAGCACTTCTGCAGTACAGCTGGCTCCAGGGCACCAGGGTCAGTGGCATCAGTGCTCAAGCAACACAGAGTAACAGCAGCTGGGAAATTCAAGCACCTTGTAAAAAATAATCCACCGGTTTGCATGCATGTTGGCCATGGTTTCCAGAAGCCCCATGGCGAACTCCTGCCTGTTCAGCCCCACATCCAGTGGCTCTTGGCCAGTTGTGCATGGCCCAGAGTAGAACCCCAGCGCGGCTCGTGAGATTTCGATGCGTGCCGTGCTTGGAATTGACTGTTATCTTGGGCATAATTAAGTGACTTCAGCTTCTCTCAGACTCCATGCACATATGCAGGTGCATCGGCATTGATCCACCCAACATGGGCATCGCAAGCTGCGTTCAGATTTTATAGGGCGGCTTGTCGTAACTCCTGTGTGTTTTGCTTTTCTTTTTAGCTGCAGTCCGCAGAGTTCTCGTCACCAGACAGCGACAAGAGTGGCCAAGGTATGGGCATCACGGCGTGGCACCCTGCTGCTGTGCCTTCAGTGACACTCCTGCCTGCAGAAGGCAGAGCTCTGTGTTGTAGAGAGTTTGTGACGGGAGGTAGAGGGAGGTTAGTTACACACCAGAGCTGAGCCCCTGCATTGCTGGTCAGCTCAGAGCAGTCCTGTTACCCAACATGACACCCATTCTGACACGGGTCAGGTAGAGGCACAGCATGATGTTTATCCATTTGTTTCCCTTTTCTTTCATTGCAAAAAGGCTCGCACAGTGATGTAAAAATAGCAGTTGCCTTTGGGGGTTAAAGCAGCATTTCTGTGCTGCTGTGATAATCTCTTGAAACGTCTTAAGTGAAAGAGATGTGCAATGAAGAAGTTAATGCTTAACAGTATGATTGATCTCTGTTTTTTTCTCTCTCACAGGTTTGCAGGTAAGAACTTTGTATCTACTTGTTTTGTGATTAACGCTTTACAATAAGTAAGCCTTCATGAGTACTTCAGGAACAAAGAAAACAATAAGTCATGAACACACAGTGACTCCATTTGCATTTCTTTTGATCTCTGTAAGAAATAAAATATTACTTCATATTGGCAGTAAAAATATATACATCCGATACAAAACATTACTGTTTTGCAATTCGTACTTCTAATACCAACATTAAAAATTGTTACAGTAAACACTGACATCATTACTTGACAACTGAATGTTTGATTGCTTACTTAGAACGGAGACTCACAGAGGGGGAGAATGGATAGAGGGAACTCGCTGCCAAGCATGCTGGAACAGAAGGTGTGAGTTCCGCCTGCACACTGGACAGTGTTCAGTATCTGTGTCCAAATCGGTCTGTGTGTGTCCACATCATGGCTCTGTGTGTGTGTGTGATCATGGCTCTGTGTGTGTGCTCATGGCTCTGTGTGTGTCTACATCATGGCTCTGTGTGTGTGTGTGTG